CACCTCCCGCCTTGTCGGGGCAGCTCGGTAGGGGAGCCTCCCGCCTCGTCCGAGCAGCTCGGTAGGGGGACCTCCCGCCGGCTCCCTAGAGGACCTCTCCCGTCGCGGTGTCACCGCCCGGCCGCCACTGCGCCCCTGGGCACCTCAAATTCCTCTCTCACCCAGTAGAGGAGCAGGTCCCCTGTGCCCACCCCACCCCAGACCCCCAAGGCTGGGCCAGAAAACATTAGAGTTGAACCTTCACTCGCATCCTGAGGGGAGGAGCCAAGTTGGAGCTGCCAGAGGTCATTAGCGGAGAGGTGAACTGGGATTCCTCATCGCCTTAGAAGTACTTTTTTGTTCCCCACACTAACGCGTGTTCCCACTGTTTACAATCTACCAGGGCAGGATCCGCAGGTTTAGGTCTGTTTTTATAAAGAGGCATCAGTCCTCCACAGCACTTAATCTCAACAGGGCTTCATACCGATTGATTCTCGATGGACGTCTTTGCGGAAAATGTTTCCCCAATGCACGGGTTCGAATCCACCAGCTGCTCCGAAGTAGAATGGACAGTCTCGTTCCCTTCTATTCACAGCCTCTGACAACCCGCTAGAGGGTCAGCTGTGGGCCAGCTCCTACTGTACTGTAATCAACAATGGATCTACTGAATCAGAATCGACATTTTAACAAGCTCCCCAGGCGATTCTTACTAATAATTAATCAATACAAGAATCACCTGGGGATCTGTGTCAGTCTCTTGTTGTTAAGGCCAGTGGAGCTGACTGTAATAGCTATCTTTGCCTTATCCCATGCCATACTCACAATCTTACTTACACTTTACTTAAACTCATTGTTGCAGTCAATGTGTCAATTCATCTCATTGAGGCTCTTCTTCATTAAGGGTCTTCCTCTCTTTCAATGACCCTTCACTTTTCCAAACATGATGTCTTTTTCCAAGGCCTAACACCTCCTTGACAACATGCCCAAAGTAGGTGAGACAAAGTTACACCGACTTTGCCTGAAGGAGCACCCAATTACACTTCCTCCGAGACAGATTTGTTTGTTCTTTTGGCAGTTCATGGTATAATACTTCTTGGCATCACTCCAATCCAAAGGCATTGATTTTTTCCTCTGTCTTCTTTATCCATTCTCCAAATTATCCATGCATATGAAGTAATAGAAAACACCATGATCCACTTTAATCTTAAAACTGAGAATCTTTAGCACCTTTAAAAAGATACTTGCAAGAAGAATTGCCCAACTGGAAACATCGTTTGATCTCTTGACTGATGCTAGCTACAATGTGTATTGATTATAGATCCAAGTAAAATGAAATTGACAATTTCAATCTCTTCTGCCTAAATCAGGATGTTGCATATTAATCCAGCTGTGAAGATTTTTGCTTTCTTGATGTTCAAGTGTAATCCATACAGAAGGCTCTAGTCTCTGATCTTCTTTACTGTTGTTGTTAGGCATCGTGGAGTTGAATGTGACCCTATGAACAACCAATCTGAAGCCTGTCCTATCCTGTGCCTTCCTCACACTTCCTAACACATTAGAGCCCGTTAAGGCAGTCATCGTGTCAATCCACCTGGTTGAGGGTCTTCCTCTCCTTCACTGACCCTGTGCCTTTCCAAGCATGATGTCCCTCTCTAATCTCCTTTAGTAAGTGTTTAAAATCTTCTTCACTTTCTGTAAGCAAATTTGTTTCATTTGCATAACATAAGTTTTATAAGAGTCTTCCTCTTCAGGAAGATACTCAGATGAACAACAAACACATGAAAAAAATGCTCAAAATAATTGTCAATAAGAGAGAGACACAAATCAAAACCATGATGAGATCCCATCTCACTCCTACAGTAGTAGCAAAGTTTAACAGGACAGCTAGTAATAAATGTTGGATTGGATGTGACATAGGAACTCATACACTCTTGGTGGGATTGTAGTATGTTACAACCACTCTGGAAGTCAGTTTGGCATTCCTAGAAAAGCTGAACGTAGAAATTTCATATGACCCAGCTATTCCACTGCTTGGAATATACCTCGAGAGAATGAGAATTGAGGCACAAAAGGAGACTTGTACATCAATGTTCATAGCCACGTTACTCACCATAGCCAGAACATGGAAACAGTCCAGAAATCCAACAACAAGCGAATAGATTGAGAAATCATGTTACATTCACACATTGGAATACTATGCAGCATACAGGAACAATGATTTTGTAAATTACTACTGAACTTGGGAGGGACTGGAGGACATTATGCTAAGTAAACTCAGTCCCGTAAGGACAAATATTGTATAAGATCATTATTGTAGAATGAGTATGAGGATCCAAGGGGGGAGGGGGAAAGGAGAGGAGTTAGAATGGCTGGAGGGGAAGGGGTCAATCATAGGGTCGCACAATTTGATGGGGAGGATTTGTGTGAAGGAAATGGGAAAGATCTGGTGTGAAAAACAATGTATACGAACTTTGTAAATAACCTAGTATAAATTTATTTTTTTTTTAAAAAAAAATAGTCTCTCCAATCCAAATGCCACATTCTTTTTCATATAGTCCAGCTTCTCAAATTACTGGATATATATGGTGAAAGGATACAGTCCTGATGCACACCTTTCCTGATTTTTAAATCATGCTGTGTCTGCTTGAAAACAGGGAATTCATAAAATGTTACACAATATGCATGGGTGATCCTGGAGGACATTATGCTGAGTGAAATATCTCAGTTACAAAGGGACAAACACTGCATAACACCACTGTTACAAAACAGGACTGACATGGGAGTTGAGGGGGAATCTAAGAAAAAGAGGAGGTAAATAACACTGCATTTGAACAGATGAGGGAAAGGACTGTTTAAAAGGAATATGATATTCCTTTTAAGCAGTCCAGAATAAGAAATTAATAGCAAAGGGAAAGGGAAGGGGAGAGGAGGGTGGAAATTATTCAACAATGATTAATTTTTTTAAAAAAAATGAACTAGGGGATAGAGAGGAAAATGTGCAACAATGAATGAATGAAAATTCAACTTTTCTATAAACTTTTGTTAAAATCACAATTTAAAAAGGGGGGAATCATGCTGTATCCCCTTACTCTGTTTGAGCAAGTACTCCTTTGTTCGTGACCAGGTTCTACATGAGTGCAGTGAGGTGTTCTGAAATTCTCATTCTTCTCAATGCTACCCATTATTTTGGTTTGCACAAATAAAACATCTTTCATCAGGTATTCTATGCTTTCAGCCAAGATCTAAGTGACATCAGCAACAATATCCCCTTTTCCACGGCCTCCTCTGAATCAATATTGAATTTTTGGCAGCTTCCGGTGGATGTACTGCTTTAGCCATTTTTAAATAATCTTCAGCAGATATTTTATTTGCATGCGATATTAATGATCTTCTTTGATAATTTCCACTTTCTGTTAAATCACTTTTTTAAAAAAAAATGGGCAGAAATCTAGATCTCTGCTAGTTAGTCAGCCAAGTAGCTGTCTTCCAAGTTTCTTAGTTTAGATTAATGAAAACGTCCAGGGCAGCATCTGTTTGTTGAAACACCTCAGTTGGTATTCTGTCATTTTCCTGGAGCCTAATTTTTTGCCAATTCCTTCAATGCAGCTTGCAGTTCTTCCTTGAACATCATTGGTCCTTGATCAGTATGCTGCTTTCTGAGTGAATGAAGGGAAACTTAAAACTTAAGATTCTAATTCAGAATGTCAAGGGTGGATAGTTCTTATGGAGGAGGGGATAGAATTGACTCAAAGCTCTGGAATCTACTTATCTTTTGTAAAGAGTTTTTTTGTTGTAAATGGTTAAACTGTTAACTAGACCTTTCTGTGGAGAAAAATACTTAGTGATTTGCTTCTGTTAATAATTGTGTTGTTAATTGCTGTCAAGTCACCTCTGATTCATAGTGTCCCTATTTGTTGTTGTTAGGCATCTCTGAATTAGTTAGGACTCATAGGAACCCTGAACAATGGACCTGAACCTTGCCCTATTCCCGAGCTATCCTCATCATCCCTAATATAGTTGAGCCCGTTGCTACAGTCACTGCGTCAATCCATCTTGTTTTTTTACAAGGACTGGACCTTCCTAACAGCATACCCAAAGTATGTGAGACAAAGTTTCATCACCTTTACCTTTAAGACACACCACAGCTGCCCTTTCTCTGAGACTTATGTCCCTATATGGAACAGACCAAAACCTTGCCCTATCCAGCACTTCACAGCCTTCACTATGCCCATTGTTGTAATCACTGTGTGAATCCTTCTCGTTGAAGTCCTCCCTCTCTTTTGCTGATTCTCCAGTTTTCTTTCTGATACCTATTTCAAAGACTGGCACCTCTTAACAAAGTGTCCAAAGTATGGGAGATGAAGTTTCAGGAAAGATTACACCCAAGAAAACCCCATGGGGCAGTTCTAATATGTTACAGGAGATTGATATAAGTTAGAATCTACTCTACAGTGGTGAAGAACAACTTTATCTTTTGTGCTTCCCCAGGTGGTGCACTGTTAAACATTAGATTGCTAGCTGAAATGCTGGCAGTTCAACCCTACTCAGAGGAGTTTCAGAAAACAGGATGGTTGATCTACTTCTGAGAGATCACACACAGCCTTGAAAACCCTTTGAAGCAATTCTTCTCTGCACACACAGGGTCACCTGCATTCAAGGACTTAACACGACTTTGCAAATTCTGAGCACTGATGAAAC